AAGAAACAAAGATGTTTTCGTCAGACATCGATTTCTCTAGCTTAGACCAAAAACAAAAGTGAAAATCTACTCAGTTTATTCAAAGTAAAATTATCCAAATCTGAAGAAATGAATGCAATTTATGGGAATCAAAAGAGTCTTCTATTAATAGTTACTAGGGGAGAACAGGTCTGTCGGGTTTAAAAAGAAAATGTTGACTATTTCGACCCGACACGGCGACGATCCCAAAAATATATTAAGCCAAATTGAGAGCATTAGGACCATTTGACAGTTAAACGTGATCTCAAAAACAAAAAGGCCTCAAAATAGAAGATTATGTTTTTATAGTGTCTGGTTTCTGTGTTTATAGTTTGAGGGAGTGGAATGTACCTACTTCTATCTATCTTATTAAACTTTGATTGAAGAAACAGAAGAGTGTTTTGATTAAAACGTTTAACACTTAAAGAACAATATGTCATTATTTATTTCAATTTCCCACGCTAGTAAGGCGGGTTGTGTGCTTCGTAATGAGTGTTACCCATATGAGATTACACGTACTGGGTTGCAATTCATGCACTGGTGGATAACTACAGTACACCGCAAATGAATCTAATCGCAGATAGTTTCCATCATAGAATGCAATTATCACGTCGTTCGTTGAACTGTTTTTTTTGTCCCTTTCCCTCCGTCAACATCTATTACAAACTTCTCACTAAAAATATACCGTTTCTTACGAAGTTTAGGTAAATTAATCTTAATCATCCTCAGCTTTTGACGGAGCGTTAAAAGCAAAAAGTAAGTGATGCACGCCTAATTTATCACCCCACGAAATTAGGTGACACTATGGTTTTTATCTACCCATTTTTACGTCATATTCTGTTACTTGTTCCCAACTATTAATCTAGCATAAAAATTTAATTATTGGGTTTTATTTTTTTGCCAAAACATATGTTACTTGTAACACCAACATATTTCTCAATCATAGCTTTTTGTCATTTTTGGGATCGAGACCAACAGATTTACTAATGAATGAATGATGATGATATGAATAGTTACGTATTTATAAGTTCAGTATACGAGATGAGCGTGTACGTTTAATGGTGGTATTCCTGTACCATTTATCATTTGAATGGAGAGTGAAATCGGCTATTATTAATAACTTTCGGTGATAGCAAATTTATAATCTCACGAATGACGTCTGCATGATCTGTTTAACAGACGGTTTCGCCAATGCCACCCACATTCTCATTATTTGCAAATAGAGACGTCTAATACTTTCACTGCAGTTCCTCACCTTTAGATTGAGCTTTGATGTAGGTATGATTTTGATTCCGATATACATTCATACTTACATACACCTGAAACAATGGAAAGTACTGTGTTATAACATGAGGTTTAGGTATACCTAAAATTTTATTTGTAATTTTGAAGTCAGTTTTCCGTATTTCAAACGCTAACATCAGAAACATCGCAAAACCATTCAATGCTAATTTAGTAAAAAGTATGTTATGCTGACACTTCACATTGAATGACTATTCGTATTTGCTATTTTGTAAATTTGACAGCACTCTCTTCTTTTATATAATTCCTTAAATATCATATGGATATACCTACTGCTGTCAAATGTAAAAATACGTTAAGTCAGGGCAGGCAGGACTGTCACCCAGAAGAGAATAGAAGGGCCTCCGTCATCTGAGATAAAAAAAAATTGATGGATCACCAACCAGTGTCACCAGTGGTCACCAACGGGCCTCCACTCCTTCGTTGCCGCAGGAACTCCACCACTCCTCTAAATCCGGCCCACCCTGCTTAAAGCTAATCTTCTTCTTCTTTCTACGCGCGTTTCTGCAACTCGAGGTCCGTATGGCGGCTGTATTGCATAAGGTTGCCTAAATCACTCTAGCCAGTCCAGCTCCATCAGGAACGCCCCCAGGGCTTTCGTATTGGTGATTGCCTCTTGTTGGTTTCCCGGAGAAGTATTTCGCTCGGTATTCGGCCACTCTGTTGCATTCCAGCTGAACGTGAGTTTCTTCTGCCTCCATGCATCATCTGCAGAGAGGGCTGTCCGGGACACCTAAGTTTAAAATATGTCTGTTAAAATGTGCATGTCCGGTAATGGTGCACCTGTTACCATGCGCAACGTAGGTTTTCCTAGCTGTAGAAGGGTCTTGGAGAGAGCAGCGTTCACTCGTGGCAAAGCGGGCTTGGTCTGCCGGCACGTCTCCAGCGTGAGCCACTGTTGCTGGTATAATGCGGCAGTACTGATAAACCAGCTTACCTTTTGTAGGTTTCAAACCAGCAGACCGGTACCGGGATAGTTGGTTCAGGATCATATCGGATCTTCTCCACGCCAGTTCATCCGCAGCATCGTTTTCACGTGAGCCACTGTGTCCCTTGATACATTGAATAGTAATAGAATTTGGTGGCATTCTTGTAGGAGGCTCGACTTGACTAAAGAGGCGTAAAGCTAATATACTTGAAGTAATATTATAAAAATGCAATTATATACTTGCAATTTATTAATATTATAATCATTCATTGTTATGTTGGAAGATCCAACCTTGCATTGTTACTATTGACACACCATGAATGATACTTGTAAGTACCTTAGAACCTTATTTATAAAACGCGAAACATAATGTCGTGTCGCCGAACAGAACGGAAGATGATTATTTTTTTATAATTGGACGACCTTATCACGACATTTTCAAGGCGACCGTTTTTGGTGGTTTGTCACTTGTCTTCAAATTACAACTACTTATACATCTAGGTAATGGGGACGCAGATGTTGATGAAAATTGGTGTCGTTGTCACGCTAGGCACATTTAGCGAAATAGCAAAAATAGAATATACTAAATAAGTAGGCACACAGCGGCAAACGTATAAGTTTTGTTCAGTATCTAATTTAATGAGCACATATTATCTATAACCAAATTTTGGCGATATAGATATTTTATTAAATAAAAGTAATGAATATGGAAGCTTATGAAGTCGATCCACGGTTAATGTATTAATCCCAAGGATATTATTAATGGTTTTAAACATATTATAGTGTGACATTAGAATGTGAAAATTAGTTGCAAAATATTGTTGCTGCTACCGAAATCTGCAATAAAAGAGTCACAACTTACTTTCAGTTTATATCTCAAACGGTATTCGCAGCGGTTGGAGTTTACAGTTACTTTAACTACAAAGTTATGTGGTATAGAGTGTCTTAATGATTACTCCAGTATTTTTTGGTGGTTTGTTGTCAAAATGAATAAATATTAAAAACTAATGTACTGTCATTATTTTAAGGACATTCAGGGATAAAGTATGAAAATATAGCATTGAAAGTTTCTTCATTGACCATTGGTCATAATAAATAATATAAAATTTTGAGATGATCTGGAGATATATAAATGAAAATTTGGTCACCCCCAGGTATACAAAATGTTTTTTGAATCGTTGCATATTATAATAATTTATAAGGTAGATAAATGAATAGGTAAAATCACATGAAATAAGATAGGTACTAATATAATATTGTGCTAGCACAATATTGTTATGATCCTTATAAAATTACCATGATATTAGATCATCAGCAGTAAGTGTGCATATGTGTTTATTACAGTACTTTGTCACCGTTTACTTAAATATGAGTGAAGTCAGCGCTAAACCGGGGCTTCACTTGCATGTGTTAGCATAATGAATTATTACTGAAAGACGGAAATACATGACTATTATTATCGTGAAAGGAATGACTACAAGAATTAAAACTGGTCGCACAAAAGTTGACATTACTTACGAAAACAAAGCACTAAAAAAACAATTCTAAGCGAAGTTAAACATTATGCATAAAAGAGCAACGCCCTGACAGAAGGTTATTCTGGAAAAATTAACATTTTAGTATAGATAGCAAGTTTTGGGCAGAAATTCTACCTAATTTGATTTTTCAAAAATGTCTGCGTTTTTATTATACATTTTAAGTCAATTCTAATTAAGTAAATATTTTTGCCGTTCAAAATTCAATACCTAATATATTATAAAATACACATATCAAAAAAGTATAAGCAACATGCATCATTTACAGAAACTGTACATGTTTTATTAATTGAAGTTGATTTTTTTTCTTAGCAAAGAAGATTGGTATGTAATCTTTTTTGTTCTCGAAAATATAGTTAGCTGATTTTAAACAACAGAAACTTTTCGATTGTGTTTTTAATATTAGTATTAACATATTACAATAGTAAAAATCGTCAAGAAGTTCAAAACCGTACAACATTTTGCTTAAATACATTTTTGATGAATATATATATATATATATACATATTTTTCCGTTTTTTTTTCTTTCTCTTATTTTTCGATTTTTCCGTTTAAAATAATTAAATGACAAGTACCATGAAGCATAGTTGGAGCGTAAAGTACTGGAGTAGAACGATTGGAATTAATAAACTTGTGACTGCAATCTCTACGATAACCTTTGAGCCTAAGTTTATGTTACTGTGATTATACTTCATTTATGACTGATATGTTAATACACACTGCTTCATTGTAATAAATTGATTTAATCAGATTTAACTTTTATACCTAACTAGGTATTTGTTGCTAAGTACAAATATACCGTAACGACAATTATAATTTTCGCCTAGATTCAAGTTTAAATTACTTAAGTCTAATTTATTAGCTAATAGCTTGGTGCAGTTTTTATTAATACGAATACCGTTATTTTTATTAGGATTGTTGTGCAGACGTCGGTAGTCGTACGATATTTTACCTGCGATTTTAATAATAGTGTTGCGTGCGCAACAGCTGTTCGGGGGTTGGGCATTGAACCAATAGTATTGTATAATATGTACTTGATTTCTGCTTTCTGATTCGGCTTCTTTGATGTAGATGGAGTAAAACCTTTAAAGAATTCTCTCGCAGCTGCGTCTTCTATAAATTTTATTTTTAAAACAAATTTGATTATGAATATATTGAATGTTAACTTTTTTTATTTGAGAGAGTACTTTTTATTGGATGTTTTTATTTTGTTGCAGAGGTGCAAGAGGTGTGATGTCGTTGCTGACTTCTTCAATTGAAAGGTTAGTATCCTTCGTGGTGTACCTACCTATAATAATAGATAGACGCTCAGTGCAAAAAGCCAATGTGCCCGTAACGAATTTTAAGAAATTCGAGATCGCTATCATTTCTGCGAAATGACGATGCATTTAGTTTTGGACTGAGATTTATTAGCATTCCAAAAGCACAAACATGTTTAAAGTTTTAATCGTCGGAATTACTATCTCTCTCGATAACGGAACTTTTTCAAATGTTATTTAATCATTTGTAGGACTTTTAAGCTTTAATATACATTGAGTGTAACGCCACACATTTGGTAGACTTTAAAATTCATAAGGAGGGTTGTCATCGCATCGTTTTTGTTATTTTGCTTAACAAAAGCATGTTCAATAAAGTTTTCTTCTTTTTCTCCATTGAAGTTCAATGATCTTTGTTTTGAGCCATATTAGATACTAAATATATTAACAAAAATGAAATATACTAAATTAGTATATCACAAATAACTTTAAGTGTAATTAAATCTTCGTGTTCACTAAATTAATTTGCAGTTAGTTTTTAAAACTGACTTATCAGTCATGGCGCTAATGAATATAAAAAATATATACGGTTAATTTCAACATTAAATTAATAAGAAGCTAGGATTTCTTATTGCGTTACATTTACGGATCTAAACAACCTTTTAGTCTGCGATAAAATGAACTCATCCTGGTACATAGTCCGATGGCCGTTAGGTTGGAAACATTATGAAGTGTAAATAACATAGAGGTCTCTAATATTCTCTTTTCCGTGCATAATATCAAATGTTAAAAGGTACAGAAGCGCAGGGTCCAGTTACCACAATTGACTTTAATTAGTCTGTGGCTCAGTAATCGATTCTCAATTGTCTCCTATTAAATTGGATTGTTGTCCTGTTTAATTAATTTTTATTGTCTCCTTTTCTATTTCACTTTCAATTGTTTTATACTCGACGGAAAAGGGCGAATTAAGTTTTATTAAAGCCGTCAATTTGTGTTAAACAAAGCATGAAGTTATATACTGTTGAGTTGCGAACTTTGCTGATTGGAATCATTTTAAATTAATGAAGTAAATCTACAAAGGACTGGTGGAATTTTATCTACGATACATAATTATTGATTATTATAATTATTATTTAAGGCAAAGCATCGTTGTTATGTATTTCAAAAAGTTTGTTCGGTGTCTGAATATGAAAGGCAAGACTGGATACTTTAACTGCATTGAAAAATTAAACAATCACCAGATACAATGGTCATTTGATATTTGGTTAACTAAACCTACGTATGTAAAGGATATAGAATTACCGTTAATGTTTGGAATAACCTGGTAAAATATTATTATATGTATATACTTTTATTAATGTTAAGTGGTGGCTAAGCATTACTATCTCCAATGCCTTCACAAACATTGTACATACATATATTTGTAAATCTGCAAATCTTATCTTTAAAACAGATAACAGTTTATCCGTTGAATTCCAACTCCAAAGGAGATATGAAGTATATTATGTAGAAAAACTAAATTATGTTGGAGGAAAAAGTGTTATATATAACAACTAGCTGACCCAGCGAACTTCGTACCGCCATAAAAAAATTTAATTAAAAAAACATTGTCCAGCGGACAACATTGTGAATCTAAACCATTCTCAGATCCCCTTGAACACACACAAAAAATTTCATCAAAATCGGTCCAGTCGTTTATGAGAAGTTCAGTGACATACACACTCACAGAAGAATTATATATATAAAGATATCCATATTTTCTGCTATTTATGAATTTCAAATTTAATAAAATTTTGATAAAATGACAGAAGAACCATGGAAACAAAATGTGAGTAGTAGCACAGAATTCAATTTATATCAAGAATTGTCCTAGGGTAATATATCATACGGGCTGGAGTAAATAAACTTATAATAAATACCTAAGTGAATTTATTTATCTCCTTTTGAGAGTTACTCTCAACTGTAAATACAATTGTTGTATTTCCATGATATTGAGAAAATTGGACGAAAGACCGCACATCATAATAAACCAAATACATAATACAGTATAAACAGCCTTTAAAGTATTTGCGATCGAGTATATTTCATCTCATTTAATGAATGGTACTTTAGTGTTTTTTTAATTTTGATCTCATTTTAGGGAAATAGCTTGCCTATAGCATTTTCGAATCGCCACATAAAACCAAGGCAATGGGTGCCGCTGGTTTTAAAAGTAACTGTATTAGAACTATAAATGTTATACTTACCTATCAGTGATATGCTTGGTTTACGAAAAAGAACTCGAAACTCATTTGAGCAGTAAGTGACCACTTATCGATATTCGATTTTATCGATCGGAATCTCTCAATCGTTGTAATAAACACAGTGTGACTGTTGCACTGACGTCCGTCGATGTCGTAATGCGGATTTGATACACAATGTACGTTAAGTATTTCAATATTATTAATCCATAGTAACGCAACAAACAATATTTGAGATTATGTGTTTGTGCTAATAATATCTATTCTCTGGTTTCTAAGCTTATCAAGTTATCACCCAAGTAGCATTTTATTCCATTTAAGAGTACACATTTAGTTCCAAGGTGAACTTAAAGCATTACTACAGTTCACTCGTGATTTATTAGCTGCATTATTGCAATTAATTACACCTATACCTTTCTAAGGGACGTATAGGAGTGTAGAGTAATACTTTTATACGATTATGGGTGTTATAATACTCTAACAACTACCCTTTAGTCAGCTTTCTGACTAAGAGCATTATAGGAGGGTAGAGATACGGCAACCTCTGTTTAACGGCCTACTTGTTCGATGTTATAGAGCTAGCATTTTAATAGAACACTTGTGGTCATTTATAAAGCCCAAGGCTGTTATGTTTACTTGTTTTAGACTGTTATACAGCCAGTTGCTGTATAAGGACTTGTTTGTGATACTTAAAATAACCTTTTTTTACTATCTGTATAGAAGTGTTTAAATAATTCACATGTGGACTGTAGGCTGTTAGAAGGACTATATGTGTTGTCCATTAACATCAATAGCAGTTTATTTGTCCACAAGTACTACTTTTATTTGCTGTAAGCTGAACATGAATGTGAATGTGATATTCTATTACACTTTTTCCCAAGCGCCATTGCAAAGTATGTTTTTACGTCACGTGCAATAAAATTTGTGAAAATGTATAAAAAATCTTGGAAAATAAGAGCGAGAACCGGTGGAATAAGAAGAAAAATTGCAAAAGAATATTTGAAAATAAACAGTCGATTGACAACGACGCCCGGAAATGAGCCCGTCGATAAGGCTTCAACAAGTGCGACTTCAACCGTTGTTGGTGGTTCCGTACATGATCCAGAGGAAAATATTATGCCTGAACTTGAAAGTTCCCTTCAAAATATACAGATATCTGAGTGTGGTGATTGCAGTTCTAGTGATAGTGAATACAATTTTGATTTGGATAATTGTTTAACCTTTCGCAAAAAAATAAGAACATGGGCTAATGAAAATCGTATTCCTCATTCTGCTTTGAATAAATTGTCAAACATAATAAACGAATTTAAACCAGGAACACTACCTTCTGATGCTAGAACATTTTTATGCACTCCCGTTAATGTCATTTTAAAAAATGTAGAAGGAGGTCAATACTGGCACAATGGGATAGCAAAACCTTTGAAGAGCATTTTGCTAAATTGGACGGATATTCCAGATATGATTTCAATTAACATAAATGTGGATGGTTTGCCTATTTTTAAAAGTTCCACAAATGAATTTTGGCCCATATTAGGTAACATTTTTGAAAATCCCAGGATTCGGCCTTTTATTATTGGAATCTATTTTGGGAAAGGAAAACCAAAAAAATTAAATGAATTTTTAGAAGATTTTGTAAATGACATGAAGATATTATTAGAAGAAGGTCTTGTAGTTGAGCGCTTAGAGAAAACTATAAAGATACAAATCAGATGCTTCATTTGTGACTCGCCAGCTAGAGCTTATATTAAAGGTAAGTCTATCTTAGTGTCGCATATTATCGCCATTATGCACCCAATATCGATAAATAACTAGTTGAAATTATTGATGCATCTCTTAGTATTTCTAGATAACTTTGATAGCTCAGATGGTTGGTAGTGAAACTGCCTTCTATTCTGTGGTTCGTAGGTACGATCCGCACATGACACAATTATTTGAAATTTATTAACTTTTTGCTTATATTATTATAACTTGATTTAAAATATTTTTTTGCAGGAGTCTGCAATTTTAACGGTAAACACGGCTGCCATAAATGTACTACAGTTGGAGAATATTCGCATACCACACATACCGTCACATTTTCTGAGTCTTTGTGTCCTGAAAGGACAAATGAAGGATTTAGAAACAAAATTTATGGCTTGCATCATAAAAATGACTCTCCTTTATTAAATCTTCCTATTGACATGGTGAACCAATTTATTGTAGCCGATTCACTTCATTTGATCGACTTGGGTGTTATGAAGAGATTACTGATTGGTTGGCGTGACGGCAACTTTGGCAAATATATTACTAAAATGCGGGCAAGTGATATTGCACTGGTTTCAAATTTTCTATGCAACTGCAAACTGCCTTCAGAAGTGCATCGAGCAGTGCGAGGTTTAGATTCATTAGCACATTGGAAAGCGTCAGAATTTAGAGCATTTTTTCATTATTTAAGTATTGTCATTTTGCCTGATGTTATGAACAATGAAGCTTATAATCATTTCTTAACACTATATTGTAGTATAACAATCTGCTCAACAGAAACATACCGAACTTTGTTGCCATTAGCAAAGGAGCTTCTGGAACATTTTGTAAAATTTTACAAAGACTTCTATGGTTCAGGCTACGTTACAAGCAACATACACAACTTACTACACCTGACGAATGAAATTGAAATGTTTGGCCCTCTGATGACATTCAACGCATATCCCTTCGAGAATATGTTATTTATGATCAAAAGTATGTTGAGATCAGGAAGAAAACCACTGTCTCAAGTTGCCAAACGATTGGCTGAAAATATGGATGATATTCATTTTCAAACACATAAAGACAAGAAATATCCTTTTGTGAACACAATTAAAAACAATAATGTATTAAATTTTGAAGATTTTAAACTTTCCAGCAAAGAAAAAGACAGTTATTTACTTACCAAATGCAACGAGGTTGTTAAAATTTGCTGCGTAAAATTCAACCACTATAAGATTTTGATTAAAGGAAATAAAATCAACAACACAGAAGACGTTTTTGAATATCCAATAAAATCGTCTCATCTTGCGATATACAAATCAAGATGTCAGCAGAATAGTACCCATACTTTGATCGTCTTAGAACCAAAAGAGATTAAATGTAAATTAGTATGTATTGAACACAAAGAATTTAATTTTTTTATCCCTTTGTTACACACATATAAATAAAATACTGTTTGATGTGATATTATTGGCTTTTATTACCTTTTTTTCACACAATTAACATATCAACATACCGACAAAAAATGGAAAATTGTCCAGTTCCAACGTAGCACACAAATTTTTCGGTGGGCTGTCTCTTATAAAACAGAGTAAAGACTAGTTTATACTAGCTAACTACCTATTTTAATCAGTCTAAATATTTCTATCTAAATAACACTTGGTAGCAAACAACATTATTATAACATAAAATAATTGTAACAAAATCAGGTAAGTATAACAAGAAATAATTAACAAAATTAAACTTAAACAACTATCAAGGCTTTTTGCAAATCAACATTACACAACAACATAAGCTTAGTTATGAAACTAAGCTTAAAATACCTACCTTATACATCGAAAGTGTATAATCAGTATGAGTTTTATAAAACGGAGACATTATACTTATACTTACATAATTAACTATTTTAAGTATTCTAATTTTTTTTAATAAAAATAGCACTTTGTATCAAACAACATTTAAGTAATAAAATTATTTTCAAAAACAGGAGTAATAAAAAGGGTATAATAAGCCGAAAAGAGGACAAAGTGGTACTCATGAAACTGAACGGCTATAGAACATAGGTCGTAATAGTAAAAAAATTGGGACCTTCCATACAAAATTGTTGATCAGCTAGTTAATTTGCTTTGGGAGGTCCAATTATTTTAAGTATTTAACAATTATGTTCCATGGGAAAAGATGTTCAGTTTCATGAGTACCTAGGTTCTTTCGGCTTGTTTACCCGTTTTGTTGCTTCCTGTATAATTTTCGAAATTAACTATCCTAACAAACAAGGCTTTGTGTATTTACATGAAGCCTAATTTGTTACGTACATAACTGAGCATAAAGTACCCGTATTATATAATCAGCATATAATAAGTTCTAATAAACGGAGATATTAAAAATTTTTAAGTCTCATTACCAAAAAATAATTATATTATAAATAATCAGCCTAGTAGAAACAAAAATCAACTAAAGGCAAGTACTGGTCATGACCGGTTTTGTAACGAGGCTTACGGTGAAATGTTACAAAAAAAGCATTCGCAAAGTTATAGTAGGAAAGAACTACCGTGTCATTAAATTTCTATATGTACTATACCAGACATAATAATAAAAAAAGAATGCCATATTGACAAAAAACGCATAAAAAATATTAGCGCAAACTTTCTTCGTCTTCATCCTCCACTTCTGCTATTTCCATCTCTAATGTTTCATTTGATTCTTTATTTTGATTAATTTTTAAATCAGCAGAAACTTCTTGCTTACTTGTGCTTGCCTGGTCTTTTGGTTTTGATTTAATTTTTCTGACTCGTTTTGAAGAGGATCTTAAGTCTTTCATTGACTTCCTTTTAACAGCATTTTTCAGAATGACCTTAAAAAACTTTTCAGTTTGTCCCATAGTAAATTTACAATCCCATGAACGTATCATATCACAGAAGAATTTGACAAAGTTTTTGTAGTCTTTTATAGGGACCTTCGAAACGTTGCCACGGCTTCCCCCAGACCAGGAGCATTCACACAGAAACTCCCGTGAAACCATTGAGTCGATCAATTTATAGGCAAAGGTCAAGCCATTTCCTTCACATGGTTGAAACAAAAATCCCAGCTGTTGTTGTAGTTTTGATCTTTCAGTTTTATTTATTAAACTTCTTTCCAGATTGTCTAGTTGTTGCTTGTCACTTATTTGTTTAAAAATAAACGATTCCTTATCAACTTGGTTAGCGTCGTTTAATAAAGTAACAGACACTGGCTGCTCGATTTTTTCCACAAATTTTAACATGCATTCATCTAATTGTACAGACAACTCAGACACTTTTTGAGTAAGTTTTTGAACGCTTTCAACAAGATTTTGCAGTATTAATTCTTGGTTATTAACTTTTTGAATTAAAATGTTTTGATTTGTAATACACTGTTCGCCGTCGAAGAAGGTTAGACATGACATTTCATCATTAGCTTCGATCTGATTGCTTGTAGCTCCCGCGTTGATGGCACTTGGCATCTGAAACAAACAAAAAATCATAACTTTTGTCTTGTACGATAATAAAACTTTGAAGTTGGGCTGTTATTTTTATTCCAATAATAATTTACATATGGAATTAGATAGTCGAATTTACATCCGCGGTTGATGAGTCGCCGACAAAACCACGAGCCAACGAATCCGTTCAATATTTTCAGAGAATTGATAGTTAAGCTTTGTATATTTTAGTATGTAGGTAAAGAGTTTGATCTAAATCTGTTTAGTGCCAAATTAGTCTTCTTGAAATAAAATTATCTGAGAAAATCCAAAAAATATATTAAATCATAAATAGGTAAATTAATTGCAGTGTTGCCATAAATCAAACAATTTTCTCCGTTTTAGGGGTGCCTAGGCCTAGCCTACTAAAACAAAATACCACAGGCACTAAATTGTAACCCTCCGGCAGCCTGCGCTCGGTGCAATACACAAGTTTTTATTAAATGTTTATATGTGTTGCTGAAAAAAATTTAATCACTTACCAAATTTTGCACCATATTTTCAAAACGGTTTGCTGGTGGTATTGCCGCTGGTCTTACAGGTGCTGGGCTAGGGCGCGATTCACTTGTTTCATTGTCCGTGTCTGTATAATTTTCCATGATGCGTAGTTCGTTTTGCGCTTCGGCATACGTTGCAATATTACTTCGTTTTACCACGCAATCCAAAATGTCCCAATTTGGATTTGGAAAAGAGTTTTCGTCTCTTGCGAGTCGTGCTCGGTTTTTAACTTTTTCTGTAGGCCAGAATAGTTTTCCATCGTCCTCCCAAACATACGGTACAATACTTAATGTGGGTCGTCCTTTTTCCACAGTCTGTACAATCTTAAACGGCATTGTCTGAAAGAGAATAATTGGATTAATACCTACTAGTACATTCATTATCATTAAAAAAATAATAGTATCTGTTTTTAATAATTAAAATTAAATATGAGACACACATCAACATATACACAACAAAGCATTACCCTTAAGCCAAAATACCAACATGTACGAATTTGAAGAAGCGATTACTCATCCCGATTCAGCATTCCATTGCTGGTTATTATGGATGGAATTATTTACAATAAAGTCAAGATAACCAGCAATGTATTCTGAATTGGTACGTGTTATCGCTGCTTTATTCAAAATTCGCTTTGATCGTTTGGAAAAAAATCCAGAGACGATATTGCGTGATATTAAACCTCCATATGATTACAAATTACCTAGCAAGTATTTATTACTTATATAGATTCACATTTTCATAGCCTAACATAAAACTGACCTAAAACCACAATGAAATCAGTCATATAAATGAATTTATACTAATAAACAAATAATACGTACACACACGCTCCTTAAAACAAAATAACAAATAATAGGTACCTTTCTAAAATACAGATAACGGTGACACTCACAGAAACATGCACTTCACGTGGTATTTATTTTGCAACTAAAAACAATACAATAACTAATCTGGCCATCACGCACGTCACGGGCGCACGTTGCACGTGAATGATCAGAGGATCTATACCTATCCCGTTCCTGCCTCTATTTCTCGCTTACTTGTTAGAAGGAATGCGCATGATTACTTGTCAGAAATAAATAGCATAAACTTTGTCTAAGTAGATATTTAAGGTGAAAGTACACCCATCAGCGCCGTACGCGCCAAGTCTGCTAGTGTAACCATATTTTACAGAATTTTAACAGATAAATATCAGAAATATCAGTTATTAATCACATAAATAACAGGAATAACAGTTATTTATCTGATAAATGCTGGAAAATATGGTTACACTATTACACTTGCCGACTCGGCGCGGCGGCGCTTACGGTGCTGACAGGTGTATTTCACCTTTAAAAGATTGTAAACAGTGTTTGTTACTATGGCTGAGTGACAACTATTATTTTCTGTCCTTTTCTGTCGCAGGGCATAATGTTGTCCCTGTTTATCTAGTTTGTTTACATTATTTTAAATACCTCCTTGAACAGAGTAGTGTTTTTGTAATGTAACTACTCTGACGCCAACTGTGTGTCTCACACGAAAAGGTGATTTTTGTTAGTTTGTTACAAAATTTGTACTTTAGGTATTCATACTTGACTATTAGTAACTGGGCATTTTTAACTGGGCATTTAACGGACATTAATAATTTTTATTGCGGATCTCTAAAATTTAAGTATTTGAAGAAAGAATTAAAGATACACAATTGCCCTGAACTACATCTTAAAGCTGTACATAAGTTCACATTAGAATAAATTAATCGACCTTGGCGCTGTAGTGGTACAAATGTGGGACTTCATATAGATAACAGCATTCTAACAGAACACATGTGAACCTAATATACGCTTACTGCATTAAATAGGAGTTATAACAGTTCACATAGCCGTATTTCATTTCCACCATTTTGTTCTACGTAACCTAAAATATTTACCAAATAAATCTACAAGATTAATGCAGATTTATCACAAAATACGCAGATAGAGCGAATGAGTTTTGGTTTCATGTTAAAATTAATTACCGTAGTATAATTATAATGCCAATAAAATATCAAAAACTGAAAATGTAAATTTTCCTCTTAGCCAGTTTTAAATATTTCAAAATGAATAAAGCGTTTTTACAGAGGCGCGTGAAAGTTTTAGTTGGCAATATGTATACATTTCACGATAAAGTTGCATTCCCATGGCATTAACCATGGCTAATATAAAACAGGTACTTACCGCATAATCCGCCGGAGTTATAGTTTTGCCCCGAATCCTTGCACTCCGTACAATTGTCAAACTAAATTATTAAAATGATTTCCACGTGGAAATAATTTAGGACCGCGGTGAATTTAAGGTAGCTTACTGGAGTACTTTTGTCCGATTTTAACTGTGTAGGCTGTGTATTTAGCCACTTATTACTCTTTATTGCACTCATGTACGTTGTATGGTTCACACTGCGTTCCATATAGTGCCGTAAGTCAGCCTTAAGATCGATGTTACTACTTAAACTGCTATTATAATGCTATTATACTTCTAATGTACAGCCATAGTGAACTTAAGGCTGTCTAATTTGTGCCCAAACTGGTTCAATAAAAGCATTATAGCAAGCTATACAGCTCATATACAGCTGACATACACAGCTTGTAGAGTACATGTGAACGACTAGACATCTTATATAGAACCCCGAATGCTACTTGGGCAGTGTAACTGCAAACATTTTTGTACTAAATATTTCAGTGGTTACAACGTCCAGTAAAATCTAACTAGTTCGCAACTTACATAAAGCTCGTAGATCTCAAACCTAATTCCAAATCGATATCTGTGATCGTCTTCTTTTAAACATTACAATTTTTTTAGTGTATTGTAACGTCACACTTTGTCTGTCTTATTATATCTATACCTGAGGAGCTCGATGGCGCAGGTTGTTAGCGTGTTCGGCTGCGATCGTTGAAGTTAAGCAACTTTCGCAGTGGTCGGTCATTGGATGGGTGACCAAATTTACAATCTCAAAGCTCCTCCGTGCTTCGGAAGGCAAGTTAAGCCGTTGGTCCCGGCTGCATCTGCAGTCGTTAGCACCCACCAATCTGCATTGGGCCCACGTGGTGGATCATGGCCCAATCTCCCTATTCCATCCATGGGGAAGGCCTGTGCCCCAGCAGTTGGGACATTAATAGGCTGATGATGATGATGATTATACCTATACCAACATCAAAGAGGACCATATTTTTGTATTTTAATTACCAGTTCGATGTATTGGTTGACAACATATACATTTATATTGTTATGTTTGGAAGGAATGTGATTTTTGATAACAAATTGATTTAAAACAAACAATACTGGAATGTGCTACCGCACGATTGTGATTGTCAATTGTTTGACGTAAGTTATCAATATTTGTGAATAAATTGTTATGCATCATTACCTAAATTAAATATAAGTTTATTTAGAAAAATCCATTAAAAGTTTTATTGGAAACTTCTTTGTTATTTCAGTGTCTATTGATCACACAAAATAAGAGGCTTGCTTATTACAGATGAGCAGGTGCGAAGCGGCAGTTGCAAAAACTTGTTTTGGTCCTCACTCGGAGATCTGGTAGATGTTATAGAGAAAACACAATGAAATGTATGCATAGGCATCCTATTATTGAGACACGGGACTAGTTCCCATTCATATGAGAAAAACATATTAGACCGTACATAGTTCTCAAAGAAACCCGCTCGCATCAGTCAGATCTATTTCTATAATTAGATCCAATTTTGTTGTTATTAAACTTTTTGTTGCGGCGACTTGAAAATGGCAGTGCGATATTTTCAGTGTCGTGTTATGTAATTATGTTTGTGAGATTTTGTCACAACCTTTAAACTATGATCTATTAAAATAAATATAGAATAAATTCCACCTTAAAGTCGATTTCGATGAACATAGAATAGGTTCATTCAAAATAAACATAAAACAGGTTTGGAATTTATTTAACTTACTTAAAAATAATCATGAAAATATTGGTATTATAAGTATATTATCAAAAATCTCTTCGATTAAGTTATAATATTATTGTATATTAAATTGATAGTTGGGTTATTCAAACTTGCTGCTGATTAACCAATTAATTTCTCACCCAGATTCATGGATACGGTTCAAGGATCACGTAGAATGCATCGTTATTATGATATCACATCGGTGGATTGAAATGAACTATTACATTATATAATGAACTATACTACGGTTTCAATTGGTATAGTGCTCTCCCATGGTTCTATTATGCACACTCAGGCATACAATACAATTGCGTTACGGTTCATATAAAAAAACCTTATGACTAATTACGCATGGGCAATGACAACAAGGAAACAATCGACATTTTCATAGAATTGGTTGTTTAGGAGCTTTCAAAATTTAAAAATAAATGTTATTCAATTTTACAAATGTAACTAAAATAAATGGATGAGATGAATCATTTTGCTTAAACAAATTCATTTTAAAACTTTTTAATTGATTTCGAATTTGATTAAGGGCGATATAATAATAATAATAATATGGTTCTTCAATATGGTCCCTTATTTACGCCTTTCACATTGGCAGTGTAGAAACCATTCAGCGCAATTTTGTTCGTTATCTGTCGGCGAAGTCGTCGGTCTGGTCAGGTCTGATGTGCGGACAACGGAGACGACCTGTCCCTAACTTACGGTGACACTGCGTCTCGTAATTCAAAAAAGTAACTAAACAAAAAACACTATACTCAAAGGCCTAAACACGAATTTTGGCAGCTCTGTAAGCAGTTTCCATGAAAACTAAATAGCGCCATTATCTGACGTAAGAACAAACTAGCTTTTTCCATGCAACATTAGACAATGACAATACAATTATGGAGCTGTCAAAATTCGCGCTTGGGCCTCAGTCTTGATACGATATGCAACGGTTATAATAACATACATTGGTATCGATTCTGGCATGATTCTCTAAACCTAAACTTAATTTGACAAAAGTGTTTCCTTGTCATTCTCTATAGAATAATAAGGAGGGACTAATGTTAAATTTAGTTTTCAGTTGAGAGAATCATGCCAGAATCAACACCATTATCATTTATCATACAATACAATGTACATAAGTGGCAAGTTTCGGATCTACGAGCCAGACGGTCGATTCAACAGCGCAACACAAAATACAACCTGAAATATCAAACAATTACCGACACTTCCAGTTTTGTACATTAGAACTGGACATTTGCTTAGCAACTTGCCAAGCCAGAGCGTTAGGAGAAAGGTGTCGTTAGCCTTAGTCTGGTTTGGTCAGCTTCAAGTTCACTTTTTCAGCAGATGGCGTTACTAGCGTGTCGTTTTTTTTACCAAAGAAGGATAAAACCTAACCTCTTCTACAAATTGTTTTGTTTTGCTTCTATTCTAAGCACATTAGTTTCGCATCTGATAAATCGTACAGAAAGGGCTATTAAGTATCAGTATCACCAGCTATCTTTACGTCTGGACTTCACCATCACTTAACATCAGGTGGGGTGGAGTTATTTGTCGGTCCACTGCTGGATAAAGTCGTCTCCTCTGCACGCCACTCAGATCGATCTTGGGCTACACGCATCCAGCTCCTGCCAGCCTCCTTGCGCAAATCGTCACTCCATCGTGCCTGAGGACGTCCTACACTACGTTTGCCTAGACGCGGTCATATATTTACATAGCACCCCAAAACTGACGGTGTTTTTGTGAAAACAGTTTGTTACTTATGTTATCAAAAACAGTTAATATCTCATAAATATTAGAACTACCTGTTTAACTTCGTTGACTGTAATGTTCTACTCGAACCGAGTATCTTTTTGTTTGTACAGCCGAATCATCTTATAATGGGCTACGCGTATTTTATACAAATAATTGGTGGTTCCAAACCTGTAATGATAGGCCTTCTGTTTCTTGAGTATTTTTTTTTGCTTAGTATAACAGTTTAAAATTTATATTTACAATATTACCATGTATCAGAACAGTTATAAATGGTAGATTGAATCCCGTTACCTATAAACATTAGCAGTATAGATGATAGCTTAATTCTGCAGCTTGCTATAGCTATAAAATTCCCACTTTTTTAAACAATTAAAAACACTGTTTAGTCGGAACACAAATTGCGTACCCACCCAGAAACGTCCATTATATTTAATGATTCACTGTCGTCACATATTGTCTATTTTTATTATTATCGTTAACGCAGACAAAACAACAGAGTCAACTTAATAAATAAATAAATATTTCTGATACACACACCAATTAGCCTAGCCCCAAAGTAAGCACTGTAGGCTTGTGTTATGGGATACTAGGGTAACGGATAGAATACTTATACTGATGTATAAATAAGTATATATATATATATATATATATATATATATATATATATATATAAAATAAAATTGCTCTTATTTATCAGACAAACATCTGCCCACACTGGGATTCGAACCCCGGCGTTGAGGTCATCAACTTAATCTAACATAACAGTCAATTAACTTCTCTTAGTGTTGTGGTAGTTAGACCGCTTTTAACATTTATATTTTTGTTATTGAATATTCTATAGAGCTTCTCGGGGTGGAAATGCAATCAGGCTACGCAACTACATAAGTAATAATAGGTACTATAGTATCACAAGCGTCTATAGGATATGGCGGCCGCTTAGAGTCTGTGCGGAAAGAGAATGGGATTTAGGTTGGAGGGCGCTGTAGTACTTTTCTACCGTATTTATAAGGTTTTACCCCTTTTAAACATGATTAAATACAAAAAACCGCAAGAAATCACAACAACAAACAAATCCGTATCAATAAAAAACTGTGACGTTTTACAGATTGCTGGGTTTCATTGCCAAATAAAAATCTTAATGTTAGTTTCGTTTTTCGCCACGCCCATTCCCTTTCCGCACAGACTCTACCAGCATGCAGGACATAATTATGCTTGTTGGTCACCCTTTATACATAAAAAGAAACAAAAATATGTTTTGTTATATGTGATTTTCCTAAACAATATTTATTTATTATTACTTATTTAATGTTTGCATCACTGTGTTTATCACATTATTATGTTTCATCAAATTTTCGTTCGTTATTTACGTGCAAGACAGTTATCCTGGTATAAAAGAGTATGTCGAAATGCTACTTCAATATGTCCCCGCGGGCTAAGATGCATTGAGTTAACATCTACATATGATAAATACGGCTCATGGAACCATAAAATATCTGGTGTGTGTGTATGATATTGTTTTAATGTTAATGTG